GGAGAGGGGGTTCAAGAAAGGGAGTTGGAAAATTCGAAGATCTTTGAAGATCCTTTGAGAAACTACTTCGAATTCTCTAGAATATGATAAGAGAGGCTTAGATTCTTCAATAATCTCAACTTAGGAACACAACACAAAGGAGATGATGGATGATAAGGATTGGTGAAGAAGAAGGCAAAATGGCTAGAGAGAAATAATGGCAAGGCTCTCCCATGGATCTCCCACTTTCACACTTCAAGGTTGATAATGGAGAAGGGAAATTAGTTCTTTCCAAGAGTTAAAAAATCTCCAAAAATCTATCCTTGTAAAGCTATGGTGGGTGCTATTTATAGGCACCTCATGATGTAGGATGGGGATATACTCTCTAACCAACCTTGTCCGAGGAGGTGACCTCTCTGAGGAAGGTGACTTCTCCGATGGATGAGAAAAGCCCGAAGAGGAGATCACTCCTCGGCGAACCCTTCTTCTTGCCACACCTAACCAATGATCCAATCATCCCAAAGGGTCAGGGGTAGTCCAGAGGACGTCCTCCGCAATATTGCCGAGTCTCAGGGACCCCCTAGATCGTGCCACCTCGACCCGGGTATAGGCTAGTTTAACCGAAGAGTGAATTTATCTCCCACTCACCGTCCTCGGGATCGGTCCTTTGTTCGAACTCCATTACGCCCATGGTTCTGGTGCGTAGATCCCGGAAAGCTCGAGTCCCCAAGTGTTCTGGGACTCATTAACGGAGCGACTTCTAGATTGCGTCTGAATCCGTTCGAAGCCAAGTGTTTCGGACCTCTAGTTTCGTGGATCCGAACCCTTTCGAGTCCGAGTGCCTCGGATCTCTAGGCTTGCTTAATACCCTTTCGAGTCCGGGCCCGAGTAGTCTCTAGGTTCGTGGATCCGAACCTTTTCGAGGCTTAGAACCATTCAGCCCGTTTGACCGGCGATAAATCCAAGCCCACCAATCTTGGACTTGCGATAAATTCGGGCCTCTAATCTTGGGCTATTGGGCCCACTAAATTATTAGGCCCATAGCCCAAGATTAGTGGGCCCGATTTATCGCAAGTCAAGAATCGTGGAACCCAGATTTATCGCCATCAAAACGGATTGACTCGCTCTAAGCCTCGAAAGGGTTCGATTCCACGAACCTAGAGACTTACTCGGGCCCGGACTCGAAAGGGTATTAAGCAAGCCTAGAGATCCGAGGCCTCGGACTCGAAAGGATTCGATCCCACGAATCTAGAGATCCGAAGTACTGTGGTTCGAACGGATTTAGACGCCAATCTAGAATCGCTCCGTTATGAGTCCGCAGAACACTTGCGGGCTCGGAGCTTTCCGGATCTACGCACCAGAACCATGGGCGTAATGGAGTTCGAACAAAGGACCCGATCCCGAGGACGGTGAGTGGAGACAACATTCACTCTTCGGTTAAACTAGCCCTATACCCGGGTCGAGGTGCACGACCGGGGGGTCCATGAAGACTCGGCAATATTTTACGGCAGGACGTCCTCTGGGCTACCCCTGACCCTTTGGGATGATTGGGATCAATTGGTTAGGTGTGGCTAAGTAAGTTCGAGCCTTAGCCCAGAGAAGCGGGAACAGTTGTTAAAGTTGATAAGCCGATACTCAGATGTGTTTGCTTGGTCATGAACATGTTGTGCGATTCATCGAGACTCTAGGTATTCATGGTTCAAACCACGTCCTCCGACTGAGAGAATTCTCTAAGTCCCTCACCGACCGAGCATATAGTTGGTATGTTAATTTGGCCCCAAACTCTGTCCAAAGTTGGGAGGAAATGGTCCACGAATCTAGAGATCCGAAGTACTTGGCTTCGAATGGATTCAGACGCAATCTAGAAGTTGCTCCGTTAATGAGTCCCAGAACACTTGCGGGCTCGGAGCTTTCCGGGGTCTACGTACCAGAACCATGGGCGTAATGGAGTCCGAACAAAGGACCTGATCCTGAGGACGGTGAGTGGAGATAAATTCACTCTTCGGTTAAACTAGCCTATACCCGGGTCGAGGTGGCACGACCTCGGGGGGTCCATGAGACTCGGCAATATTTTTGCGGCAGGACGTCCTCTGGGCCTACCCCTGACCCTTTGGGATGATTGGGGATCATTGGTTAGGTGTGGCTAAGAAGAAGGGTTCGCCGAGGGAGTGATCTCCTCTTCGGGCTTTTCTCATCCTCGGAGAAGTCACCTCCTCAGAGAGGTCACCTCCTCGGACAAGGTGGTTAGAGAGAATATCCCCCATCCTACATCATGAGGTGCCTATAAATAGCACCCACCCATAGCTTTACAAGGATAGATTTTGGAGATTTTTTAACTCTTGGGAAAGAACTAATTTCCCTTCTCCATTATCAACCTTGAGAGTGAAAGTGGGAGATCCATGGGAGTGGGAGAGCCTTGCCATTATTCTATTCTCTAGCCATTTTGCCTTCTTCTTCACCCAATCTCTTATCTCCATCATCTCCTTTGTTGTTGTGTTCCTAAGTTGAGATTATTGAAGAATCTAAGCCTCTTATCATATTCTAGAGAATTCGAAGTTGTTCTTCAAGGATCTTCGAAGATCTTCGAATTTTCCAACTCCTTTCTTGAACCCCCTCTCCTACAGTAACTAAAAAACAGAGCATTAATTTGTGATGCATAACCATTGGTTTTGAGTTAAGTTAAGTTATCTATCTGTTTCCATATTGATTAATTTCCTTGCAATGCTTGATGTTGTGGGTGGATATGATTGGTTATTGTTTCATTGTCTTTCATGAACTAAAATTGAGAGATACTTTGTAGGTCAATATGGGAGTCAGATTGAAAGGTGTTGTAGTGTCCTTGTTCTTGTCATACTTGTCGCTGAAATAAATTATGAAAACAGAGCATTAAGGTGTTGTAGTGTCCTTGTTGAATTGAAATATATTAATATTTGTCTTTTAGTTTTCCAGTTCTCTTTTTAGTTTTGATATTTAATTTTAATTTGTAGATTGGATCCTTCAACCATAATTATAAAAAAAATTAAAAAAAAATATCGGCGTACCGCAGCCGTACCCGTATCATACTTTTTTGGGGCTTTGCCGTATCGGCGTACCCACACTTGTACCCGTACCGTACTCGTACCCGCACCCATGCTTCCTAGTCTAAGGATCATCCATGTATATTTGTATTTTGAACTTGATCATGTGATTCTTGAATTATGGAAAAGATGAGACCTTGGTTTTGAACCTTAAGCAAGATTGATGTGTTTGAGTTGAAATTACACTTGAATAGTGTTAGTTTATCATGTTTTTGAATTAGTTTTACATGAATTTGGGCTTGGAAATGAGTTATGAGTTTGAAAGATTACACTTTGTCCCATTTTCAGACTGTCTGGTTTTGCCCAGACTGCTCGTGCTGTTGCGAGCTCCGTACGAGCGGAACATGAACCAAAACGGGGGGTTGCATTCTGCTCGCTTGAGCGACTAACACTTCCGCACGAGCGAAGCATGACCGCTCGAGTGGTGAGACTTTCCGCACGAGTGGACAATAGGGAAAATTTTTGCTTCCTTTTTGTTGACTCTTCAACCTTCTGAACGCATTTGTTACCTTATTTAAACACTCCGAAAATTGAAATGATGATTAGAAACCCATTCAAAAAGGATGTAAATTATTAAAAGAAAAGTATAGGAAATGGAACGAATTATTTATCAAATGTCTATCTGTAAAATGTTATGTAGGTTGTGTGCCGGAGAGAAGGCCGCAAGACCAAACGCACTATGAGTAATAGTATAGTAAAGATATGTTCCTAATTAATTATTTTGATCCATGAACGATGATTTATTTTGGAGTTGTGTTTTGATCGAAATGAATGAGTTTCATGAATGTTATATAACATATGCAGTATGGACCTAAGGTTGTTCTGTTTATACCATGATGTGTTGGGCCCAAGGCCGTTCTAGTAATGGTATGATAATATATGACTGGACCTGAGGTCGTTCTCAACAGCTGTTAATGTGTGGGCCTGAGGCCATTCCGTGATATGTATTCATATGTTTAGGCCCGAGGCCGTTCTATACCATGTGTGGGCTTGAGGCTATTCTGATAAATGTTGGGCCAGAGCCCGATCAGTGGACCCGAGGTCATTCTGTAATTATGATCATGAAAAAGATTACGAAATTATGATGTTGTACTTACTTTGATAATGGGCTCATTCATTTAAACCTCTTTACTATATTATTACTTATTGAGCTTCGCTCAGTCCATATTCTGTATGTATATGTAGGTGATCAGTATGCCAATGTCTAGCATGGAGCCAACCTTAGAGTTCGCTTCAGGACTTGTTTTGTGAACTCGATCGGTCGAGTCTCCAAGATGGAGCTTTTGTCTTTTTGACTTTTGGCTCATATTACATTATGACTTTTATTTGATTTTCTTATGATGGTTGGATGTGTAAACTATAAGTGTGGAGTTTTTTATTTTATTTTATTGCACATAAGTTTTGCATGGATATGGAGATACGTGAATGCGCAGTGATAAATGCAAGTGTATTTTTTATCATATTGGCACAGCTCAATGGACTTTCATCATTGCTATATGCTTTCGCTTGTGGCCCCATTATTATAATTATTCTGTATTTTTGTATGAAGCCGTAGATAATTAAGTGATTACTGGCCGGTTATGATCTAAACCTCTAGGGCCGGGTTTAGGTCATGACAGAGTGGTATCAGAGCATGAGTTAATATCTCACACACGAGTCCAATTGAGCAATAAGGAGTCTAGAAAAGGCTTAAGTTGCATCCATAATGCATTCATAACCAAGTATGACATAAAGATGTGCGTTTGTAAGTGTGACTTCTGTGCATATTTTTTGTGAGAATTATAATACATGTTCATATAGATCATGGTGAGAACAAGGGCGGAAGAATTGGAGGAGTCAACCTTTGCACGACTCGATCGAATGGAGAGAATGATAATGGAAATGGTGGAAGCTTTTAGACAGCAACAATAGCAATAGCAACCACCACCACCGCCACCAATACCTATGCCACCACCAATAGTGCAAGATCACCAAGTTGAAGATCGAACAATTGCACTGATGAAAGAGTTTAAAAAGATGAAACTGCCATTGTTCATAGGAGGAATTGACCCACTCAAAGAAGAGGCATGGGTGCTTGGCATTGAAAAACTATTTGAAGTCTTTCCGTGTACTGAGGCACAAAAAGTCCTACTTGCTGCTTTTACACTAGAGGATGAAGCGTGCAGATGGTGGATTCTTATTAGAGATGAACATCAAGGAATGAATTGGACTCAATTTTTGAAAGTCTTTTTTGAAAAATACTTCCCCAAATGTATCTGAGACAGGAATGTGTCAGAGTTTGAAAACTTGAAGCAAGGAAATAAAACTGTAGTAGAGTATGAAACACAATTCACTAAACTAGCCTGTTTCGCACCGCACATGGTTGATACGGACTATAAAAAGGTAAAGAAATTTGAGGGAGGACTCCGGTATCCCATTCTAGAGAAGATTGATGTTTTGAAGCTGCCAAAATATGTTAATGTATTGGATAGGGCCCTAATGTCTGAAACTAACATGGCTAACTGCAACCAGTTCTCGAATTGGAATAAGAAAAGATAGGGTTCTAATGTGCATAAAGGGTCGGCATCCTTACAAAACAAGAAACAGAATTTGGGAACTTGAAGTACTTCTGGTTCTATTCGCGATTCAGCACCAACTTGCCCAGAGTGTGGAAAGAAACATCGGGGAGTTTGCTACCGAACAACCGGGGCTTGTTTTAAGTGTGGGAAAACGGGTCATGTGGTGAAGAATTGTCCTTTGATTGAACAACAAAATGTGAACAGGCCAACTGCTAGTTCAACCAGTTCCACTCCTACAACGAAGGCTACTGCGAAACCTGCTACTACTGGAGACAATGTTAGGCAAGGAAGAGTCTTTGCCCTAATTCCAGGCGACACTAAAAATATAGAGGCTGTAGTCTCAGGTACACTCTTCATTAATGGTCAACCTACTCATGTGTTACTTGATTCGAGTTCCACCCATTCATTTGTTTCAAAAGCATTTGCTAGTAATTTGAATCGACCTTTGGAACCATTGGATTACATGTGTGTGTCTTTGCCATCTGGGGGTTCTATGTTATGTGCTTTTATTTATAATGCATATGAGATTCTAATTGAGGATATTCAATTATATGTTAATTTGATGCCTCTTGATATGGATCATTTTGACATAATTCTTTGAATGGATTGGTTAACTAAGTATCATGCAACCATTGATTATGTGTCTAAACAAGTTGTTTTCCGACCTCTTGGACAAAATGAAGTTACTTTTGTGGGACATGGGGTAGTTTCTCCACCCTATTTGATATCGGCTATGAAAGCTTGTAAATTACTTCAGAAAGATTATGAGGGCTATATGTGTAGTATCCTAAATGTACAAACAATAGATGTGAGTGCTGATAATATCCTGATTGTTAGAGAATTTTCAGATGTATTTCCTGAGGATTTTCTAGGGGACTTGATAGCTTGTGAGATTAAATTTGTTATTGATATTGTGCCAGGTACTCAACCTATTTCAAAGGCTCCTTGCAGAATGTCAATGACAGAAATGAAGGAATTGAAAATACAACTGCAAGGGTGTAGACACCCCATTTTGACTGCCTCTAAGACTTGGGCACTTCATTCCGAACACTCGATGATGAAAGATTATACTGTGTAATCTTTCAACTCTTCAGCAAAAGAATTCGGTTTTGAGCTTCAAACCCAAACCTCGTACCCCATTTGGACCAAAACCTGTTTTTCTAGCCTGACCACTCAAAGAGCAGTAAGACCAAAAGTTGACTGGCAGGCCACTTTTCTTGGGCCGGCCGTACATCCTCTTGGCCGGCTGGCCATGTTCAACGCAGAAGACATTTATGCAGCAGCAGGCTACTCCCATGCATGAGATTTGGCCAACTATTCTCTTTTGAAGATATTTTCGATGAGAGAAGCTGAAATTTCATAAATAGAGCACCTCCCCTCAGAGTTTTGGGAGAGAAAACTTAAGGAGAAAGCATTTCCAAAGGCATACAAAGCGTTCTCTACCTTCTTGAAAATAGATACACCATAGATACACCAATGAAGCTCAAACTTGAAGCTTTTTGCTGAAGTTTTGAACCTTATTTTAGATACTTGAGAGTGTGTGGATTGAAGTTTGTGAATCAAGAAGCTCCTTCCTCTTTCCAAGACACCTTTGAACTCCTTTTATCACCTTTTCTTTTACTCTTTGCTCTTTATTTCTTGTCATAATGTACTGATTTTCAGAGTTATGTTAGGCTTAAAAATGTGATTTAAACCTTGTTGAAGATGGAAGAGTTAGCCACCCTTCCATAGGCTTATCCATAGTTGTGTTCTCTTTGTTTTCTCCAAGCTTTTGCTCCTTTTTTCTTCACTTTTAGATTGATTTTAGCACTGTCTTACTTAGTTTTTTTTTTTATAAATATGGACTGTATATATGTGCTTAACACTTTAAATAAATAGCTTGATTCTATCTCTCTTCTTCAAAGATGTTATAAGTTCTCTTCTAGTTCTATCTTTGAAGCATGGAAATGGATGTCTCATCCATATTCCATGAGTAGGAAGACAAGCATACAACAACTCTTTATAGCTTTCATTCATTTGCTTAGTGTTGTTTTGATTTTGCTTTGAAGCCATATGAGAGCTCTTTCATCGGAAGTATTAGAGACTCTCTTCGAGTTCCTTTTGAAGCATGGAAATGGATTTCAATCCATGTTCCATGAGTATAAAGAAGAGACTCTAATTGCTTTCCTCAATGATGTAGTCTCTTGTTAATAAGCTTTTCTTTCAACAATGGCTTTCTCTAAACCTATTCTCTCCAAATTTGAGTACTCACTCTTATTTTTCATGAGATATAGTAGGTTTTAGCCATCTTTTTGAATGCTTCTTTCTCACTTAGCCTTAGGTTTGTATTCATTAAATATTCTGTCCTGTTGCTTCATTAATCATCATCTAAATACCCTTGGGGTGTTTGATGATTTGTGAAGCAAACCTATTCTCTTCTCGAATATCTTCATGATAAGAGGGGGTAGGAAGGATGAACATCCTTTGGAACCCTCTATTTTGCTCTGTTCCAGTAGGTTTTTCTCCAAAAATAGTGGCCGGTCGGCCATCCTATAGTACGGCCAACTAGTTCATCAGGCCGGCAGACTAACTCCTTTGTACGATAGTGGTAGTTGTTCAGCAAAACAGAGCAGATCTTGAGGCCAAAACAGAATTGTTTTCTGACTGCGAACAGGATAATTTCTAGCAACAAACAGAGAGGTTTTCGAAGGACGTTCTTTCTTGTGTGCACACAATTCTCCACCTTTCATTCAACTCCTTTAGATTAGTCGCTTTGAAATTTGAGTTTTGTAATAATTAGTTAATTCATTTGTGTTTGTAATAATTAGTTAATTAGAACATTCAGACCCTCTTGTACGAGGGAAAATTTGTAACACTTTATGCATGTCTTCCAACCTCCATTTCTTTCTTCTTTTTATTTACATGTTTACCGCAGTTGTACAAAGCATCATGTTTTCCTTTATCATTCCCATGCTTTGTATCTATTTTTGCATGCATTAACATTTACTTGATGTAGTTATCATTTCCTACTTGATTATGTGTGCTATCTCATACTTTAAGTTGATTCACATGTCATGTTAGTTGCCGAATCTAGTAGTTGCACTTTTGTATGTGTTGCATTAGCCATTTTGCATATTAGGATCATGTATTTTTTCTAACTATTTTCTTTTCTTTGGTTTGCCATGGTTAAGTACCAGGTGAGCATTTTTTTCTTTTTAGCATATTATATGTGTGTTTGTGTTACCATGTTGAGCATACTACCATGAGGCTATTTGCTTACTTGAAATAATTCTAAGAATGCTTGTAGATGGAGGCTATATTTCTTAAATTGGAATGACTTTGATTGTTGTATATATGAGTTCATTTTTTCATTGAGTTGCACATATTCTAAACTCTTTCAAAATTGCATAAGATCAAAGCAATCCAAAGTAAGTAGCGAGGTCTATACTTGTTTGCTTCACATAGTTAATGTTAGCATTATTAATAAAACAGAATATGAGCATATAATGAGCATAAAATAGAATATGAGCATTATTAATCTTTGATCGAGTGAGTAGGGTGCTCAATTCATGACCTTCCCCTCTTATACCTAAGTTCCCGAACCAAAACACTTTGGTTATGACCGACAAGTGGCCTTTGGCACTGTAGACGTCCCCGAACGCCCCGGGAGGAACGAGCTCCCGTTCCGTTCATATTGGGGTCACTACAACTTAGGACTCTCAAATTTGTCACGGTTCTAAGTCTGAACCAAAGAGTCCAAATCCGGCAAATCGTTTTGAGAAACAGATTTTTGACAAGAAATGCCAAACATGGACTGCTTTGCCAGATACAGAGTCGCCACCTAAATGTTTTTTTTAATGGGAAATTTAGGAAACCCTGACTCGGTGCCAAAGGCCACGTGTCCGTCATCACCAAAGTTGCCTCGGCTCGGGAACTTGGGTACGATTGGGGAAGGTCACTTCGTGAGCACCCCCGCTACTAACCATGATATCTATTTTTGAAAAACATTGTGTGTTCTTATTCCGGTTATTAGCCTAGGTTTTTTATAGTTAAAATAGTCTATTTTGTCTTTTGTTGCTAAAATAGCCAAATTAGTCCTTCCCAAACGGACCCTAAGAGAGATAATAAAATGTAAACATTTACGATTCTATGTTTTTTTTTTTTTAAAAAAAAAAAAGAAAGATCTGCTAACTCCAAATGGGTTAGGGCCCTTCAACAACATTGAAGAGGGGCCAAAAAATAAGCCACTTTACAGAACTGTAAAAACCCTAAAAACAAACATAGATATGGCTAAGCTCTTATGCAAGAAAAAGGGCAAAAAGGTGGCCAAAGAGGCAAGTGGTATATGCAAAGCCCAAACTGAAATATTCCTTCTAAACATTGAAGAGGGACCAAAAATAAGCATATTTACAGAACTGTAAAAACTCCAAAACAGTATACAAACATGCTAGAAATGCAATGCAAAATGAGGCTCAAAAGTGGCTATAACACAAAGTATGCAAATATTCACAAACAGCCAAAGACCCTTGATGAAACATGAAGAATGGGCCAAAATAAGACTATTTCTAGGCCTTAAAAAAGTTCAAAAAAGAAGCATAATAGGCTGCCAAAGCATGCAAGAAAATGGCATTCAAGGGGATATTGGAGCAAGTGCAATATGGAGGGCTCAAACAGGGTTGAGCCCTTAATGAAACAAGAAAATGAGCTCAAAAAAAATGACCTTTTCAGTTTGGGTCGGAGCTCAAATCAACAAGCATGTATGGCTTACAAATACAAGAAATGGACCAAAAACAAGGGAAATGAGACTCACCCTTGAAGACAAGCTTTAGCAACTCTTGGCTTGAGTTTGTAGCACCTTAGGCCTTGGAGAACACCTTCAAACTTCTGGAATGGAGGATGGAAGGGTGGGGGTTGGTGGTGTAGAAGAAATGGTGGTGTAGGACTTGAGGGTTTTTCAAGGAAATGAGAGAGATGGAGGAGGATTCTTGCATCAATGCTTGAGACCAAATTTTCCAACCCCTATGATGGATGTTGGCAGCTGGTTATAAGGATCAAAAGGAGAGGGAGTATGGAAGGAAAGGGTGGGGGAAAAAGGACCAAGGCTTTCCCCCACAAAATATCCCCCGGATTGAGATATTTTCTGGGGGAAACAGCTATACAGCTGTAAAGTCCCGGCACAACGAAAATGGCCAGCTGGTTTTTGGGCTTTCATGTGGCGGCCGGCCACCTCCCTTAGCCGGCCGGCAAAGGGTCAAAAAGGCCAAGTTGCTTTAGTGGCCGGCCACCACTATTGGTGGCCTCCCAGGTCTCCTCTTCACAACACTGTGGTTCGAATTTGGAAACCTAAAGCAGGAGAGAGAACAAGCCATTTGAGGGTGGGTTCAAAGGTTCAAATGGAATTAATGGCGGCCATAAACTTTTAGGGTCCTCCCATGTGTGTACATCACAAATATGTGGTTTGGGGT